AATTAATTTTCTTCTCTCCAGACTACTGATGAGCTCAAGACTTTTACATCTTATTAATCACTTTAGCCACATAAGTTGTTTACACTTGATTATATAAGAACAGCCTCCTTTTTGCTTCCTTTTGCTGGACGTTTTTTCGTTGTCATTTTGTAATAGTAATAAAAAATTTAATTAATCCTTTGTTTCTACTTTTTTCTTTTCTTTTCACTAGTGGTTCCTTGATAGGAAAGTCTCATTTGTAAAAAGATCTTTAAGGAAGCTCTTTAATTAACTGTTTTAAATTTGATTTTTATAGGCAGTTTTTGGAGTCCAGCTTGTTGTGACAATGGTCATGGCCAGTGTCTTGTCAAGAATAACTCCTCATTATTCCTTGGCACGATTTCTCTTGTGTCGAACTGGGTGAGTTCTGCCTTTTTTTGTGAATAGTTCTTTATTGATGCATTCTTTTGTATCTTTAAGATTTTTCTTATCAATTTAAGATTCATTGCAAATTAACCTCATTATGAATTAGAATGACATTTAGAAATAAAATTATAAAGTAGTTCAAAAATGGTTTCTTTGCTCATAATATTCATACATAGACTCCAGAAAGAAGTCACTAAAAACTATGGTGATCAGTTTACTCCTTTTTAATTATTAAATATTTCTCAAGCAATTTTATGCACTGGTTAGAACACCAGTGCATAAAACTGCTCATATGATGTCAAGGTTTCTTTATTTTTTACATTTGGACCAGAAGGCCTTTTAATTTCATGAACCTTTATTTCTTAACTTATTGCCTGCAGGTATATGTACTATCTCCTGTAGTCTTTAGTGAATTTTTTGTACATGGATAGCTCCATAAGTGCTTAGCCACAGAGGAGTCAAGTAGTTGGCCTAAGTAACGTGAAGTAATGCAGAAATGGTTTCTTTGCATATTTTTTGCAAAAATTATGGAGAACACTAAAAATTATGGAGATGAATGTAAACCTTTTTAATTATTAGATATATCTCAGGCAGTTTGATGCACTGGTTTTCTAGCTCATATGAAGCCCTCATATGAGTCCTTTTGTTTTTTACAATAGGACCAGAATGCCTTTTAATCTCTTGAACCTTTATTCCTTAATTTATTGCCTGTGGATTAATGTACTATCTGTTGTAGTTTTTAGTGAATTTTGTTGTACATGGATGGCTCCCCAAGTGCTCAGCCACATAGGATTCAAGTGGTAAGCCCCAGTGAAGTCAGCTGATTACCCCGGTTCTTAATTTTGCCATATTTCTTTTTTTCTAAAGCTACTGATTCTGATACTGCTGTTATTATTGACAGTGGGATTATTAAAATGTTATTGAAATACTATTAATAAAGATGACAAGATACCAAAAAGAAGTCTTTCCAAAAATAAAGGAAATTATAAGCAGGTAAGATCAGTAGGATTAATATTTGACTTCTTGTTGACTAAACACTTGTGGAGCCATCTCAGGGTATACACAATTAAACTTTAACCTCCAGATGATGTGGGGTTTGTGTCATTGCTGACTTGATCATGTCTCGTAGACAGGTCATTCACATCATGGCTGACTTGGCTCTGTTTAGGGTGTTGGGTCACTTATATTATATTATGATGATACAAGCATTACATTTTATACCGTTTTGTATTCTGTACTCTCTTGCCTCCATGACTCATACCCTGGGGCATTGCCTGAGGGAGAACAGGATGTGTTGTACTATAATGTGTGCTGTTGTTTTGTTGAAAAGCAGTGATATATATCACATAAATTATATGCCTAGAAGATGTCATGAACCCAAAAATTTGGCTCTTAAGTCTGATGTGAACCTGAAAATAACCATCACTTTAGTTTACATGATGAATTTCCTTGTGTCAGCTACTATTGTTTGTCTTTTGGTAATCTAACATTGTGACTGTCATGAAATATGACAGACAAGAGGGAAATACTGAAGCCATGGGATTACCAGCCTTGTTTATGACTACATACAGTTGCTTAATATGTAAATATAATATTTATGTTTATCCCTCTATAATATCAGATTCCCTCTTGTATGCAGAGTGTAACACCTTATTTATTGAAATGGGATGAAATGTCTACTACAGGTAGCGGAGTGGAGGCTAAGTGTGCCCTAAATTCTCTCAGAAGCAATATTGCATAATGCATATGATAATGACATTGTGTATAGATATGAATTTGTGAGTATCCAAAGAACACTTTTTTACCAATATCAAGAAAACTGAAGTTCTGTATACATTTATACATGAATTATGCTTTCCATCGAATCTCCTTGGCAATATGCCATAGCTTGGAGGTCTATATTTGTATCAAGCAGAAAGCACTTATGTTAAGAAATAAAAGTATAAATTAAGATAATAATATTTTGGTTTAGATTCACTCTAATGGTCGGTACAATCCACCATCGGCAAATTTATTTTGATTTGAAATTGGTCATTTCCATAGTAAAGAGCACATAAATATGAAGGCCACCTTGGGAGGAATTTTGAACAATAGAAAAATAAGTGAAATATCACTTATTTTATGTTGATTATGGTACACAATGATACCTGCTTTAAAATAAAAACTATGGAATTTTGAAATTAGTGTTATGCATTCGCTTTGTAAAGAGTTGATACAGCTACTGCATGTCTTTCACATATTTCTGGTAAAAAATGCAACCCCTGGATGCCACTGTAGGCACCATAAATAAGTGAGATACTGACCCCATTCAGGCATCTAATTATTTTGTTCATTTATTTGCAGAAATAATGCGCTCAAATGACTGAACACCAACTTGAACTAGTTTACTATGCCCAAAATGGCGATGATTTAAATAGTGTTTACATACATAACCTCAAAAATTAAAACTACCCAATGACCAACACCCCCCCAAATGTGGGAAAAATTCACCGGCTTCAGAAATTCTTGCTGTATATTTATTTTATACATGCTTCTATATTTCCCAAATTTGAACTAATATGTTGGATTATATGTACAGTAAGTCCCCAACTTAGGAACATAATAGGGACCGAGACGCTGTTCGAAAGTCAAATTGTTCGTATGTCAAAGTTGGGTCTCCATTGCCTGTTTCCCCATTGTTTTAAAGTTTGTTTACATTAAGAATACCTGTACATAAATCCCAATAAATATGACATACCCTATACAGTACCAGTAATATGTAATGCTTTTATTATTTTTTGTTGGTGATTCACACAACTTTAATGTAGAAACATAATTTATTCAAAAAGAAAATATATTGTGGTGATGGTTGGTGAACCGATCGATAAGATGGCGTGTGGTCACCTGAGTAGGGAAAAACACAACCAGGGCCGTCACACAACACAAAGCCTTCATCCGTTAGACCGGGGATGACGACATACCATACTGAGAAAAATCGATAAACATGGATAGATTAACATGGCGTCAATCAATGGAGTTGAACAGGTGCCTATAAATCTGGAATGACCAAGCGTCTGTATATTGGGGTCAAACAGCTGCCATGGTTACCGCTAGGTTACAGACTCACATTTAGGTAACATGTTTTAACATTAGGGCTATGTCAGTTACATCCATGAAAGCATTTCACATGAAATATAAAACAGGAAACATTGCATGCTTCAAATAAAAATTAGGAAACTCGTAAGATTTACCTTGTTCACTTGGATTTGTTTGATGTTTCTTGGCACTTCCACTGGCTTCACCGTTTATCTTTCTCTTCACACCCAACATTTTTGATGGATTGATGCACAGGTAAAGCAAATTATGGCACAAAAATTGGCGGTACACGAGGACACAGTGAACAGATGCTTTCGTGTTTATGGTTGGAGGGCAGGCGACTGAGGCCAGTAATGCGCACAGCTGAGTGAGCGTGACAGACTCGTGAACTATATTCGCGCCCAGGAAGTGTGAAGTTTGGTAGCATCTTTCAAACAATTTTTTTGACTTAAGTATTTAAGAAATTTTGTTTGTATGTATGGAATATTCGTAAGTATTTAAGAAATTTTGTTTGTATGTATGGAATATTCGTAAGTAGAATGTTCTTAAGTAGGGGACTATCTGTACATATCAATTTTGTACTGATATTTCCTTACACGGTTCTTTAAAATCAGATCCCCATCCAGGAATTTTCAGTTTTGATTACTTGTCTTTGTTTTAATGCATTTATTAAATGTTTCAGACAGGAATCTTTATTTTTATATCTGAATAAGAAAAATGTACATTATAGTAGCTGTTGTATATATAATCATTAGATTTAGAGAATAGAATAGAAATAACTAACTTTTGAAAGAGTCCAAATTTCAGTGGCGTGCTTTTAGTACTTTGCTTATGTACGCTGCTGAACCGTCCAGACGTAATTTTTTTTGTGCCTCCTTAGCATATTCTTTTTTTCACAAGTGATCTGGAGCGCCACCACGTCTCGCAATTTTTGAATTTTGAAAGATAATATAATTGATCCAAATATAGTTCACTCTGGCATATGGAACTTCTAAAATTGGCCCATGATGTGACCATCCCATGGAATTGTTCAAATAATCTTTAAAATAATTCAGGGAAAAAATATAACCCGTGGACAGTTCGGTGTAATGTTAAAAAAGCATTTTGTTTACTTTTTTTGAGCTCATTCCCTCCCACCTCGCTAGTGGCCATTAGTTTGGGAATGTTACTACATATTGGTAGTTTTCCCTGTATATACCTGGCTCATTCATTAATTCAAGCTCAACATTAGGCACCTAATAGTTTGTAGCTCTAATTCATTGATGAAAGTTTTTCAACTTTGAAGGTTTCCATTCACTTAATTGCTTACACCCCCCTAGTCCCTTGCTCACTGTTATCATTGAGGGGGTTTAAGATACAGAGATTAGGATCCAATGTAGGGGATCATCCCTACTTTGAACCTCAGCCTTTGCCTCAACTAATTTTGCATGGTCTTTTCTTCCCCCCCCCCCCCCCCCTTTCCTTTTCCTTCTCTTCATACCCTTCTTCCTAAGTGTGAGAGCTATGCTGAAAGGATGAATGGCTGGCTTTCATTCAGTCATGAATGGTCTCTGGGGAGCTGTGAGCATGGTATTCCCCTGGTTAATTGTCTAGTCCATACTCCTCATGGGGATCTTAGGGGTAGACTGTTTCTTCTCCCCATCTATTATAGGCTCACCATGGCCAGTAATAATTTTTTACCCTTATTAGGGGCATTAAGGCTTATCTCTTCATTAACTAGCCTATCTAAATTTCATTTCATTGGTTTCCTGACCCCTACCTCTCTTTTGACCATGGCTCTGACAACTCATACTAATACCCTCTCCTCAATGTTTGCTGTTAATTCTATTCATTCTGAATCATCCACCCAGGTTATTACTCAATCTTCAGGATACATCCCTTCCTCTCTCCCAACATCCTCCACTCAAATGCCTATCTCCCATCTTCTTCATTGTCTCTCCCCACCCCCCTCAGTATTACTCTTCATCCTTATTGACCTCTCAGCAGTACTACCTCTCCATACCGTTCCTTTCGCCTTCATCCGTCTACTGCTTCCACCTCTGCAAACCTTTTGAGTACCCTTTTTGGCCTAACCAAGTTAAATCAACTTTTTGTGATTCCCCCTACAGCCCCGTACTTTGACAATGCCCTTTTTACTCTAACAATACCCTGACAATACCTTTGCAGTTCTGATTGCTCACACCTTGTCACAGTTACATCTGAGTCCCAATCTTGAGCACTATCTACCCTGACTAACCTCACTGGCAAACCTATTCCTGCCCAACCCCACTCCTTTTGTAGTACCTTTATCAGAACTGTTTCTGTCTCTGATTGTCCTGTCTGACTGCGAAAGCAACTTGCATGGATACCTTTTCAACTATGATACAGTAGCATTTCAATGCTACACTATTCCTCCTAGATTCCAACATAAGTTTTACACCAATATTGCCAAGATTAGCTTCCATAGATATAACCTCCCCCATAAAGTTTATATGGGAGTGTCTTGCCTTGTCCAACCATATCAACCCTTTTCCTTTCAGTGTCAGAAATGGTGTTTTGACCACCCAGCCAAACACTGTCACTTCACACCCTGCTGCCCACTATGTGCCCAACCAGGTCATGACCAATCAAATTGCTCTACTCATTCATGCATGTGTGTCAATTGTGGTGGCTCCCATAATGAATTTTATGGAGAACCTACAAGCTTGTATCTTAGGTAGCAGTTCTTAGATTCAAACTAGGCCTCACTCTACGTGAGGCCAGAAAAGAAGCATGCTGTTGAGGTTTTTCTCTTTCTACCTAATCCAAAGCCACACTTTGCTCTGCTCCCCTCCCATCTTCCCAAGAATTCTCCCCTAATGTCTCTTCCCTCTACCCCAAACTATCCTATCTCTACTTCTTCACTTCTAAATCTAGATGCTCTAATTTCTACCATGTCCCCAGTGCCTGCACCAATCTAAATGTTCCATCCCATCTAACAGATTCTCTCCAACACCCACCTGTTAGATTTTGAGACCTTTGATGGTTTCCATTAAAAAGATTGTTTTTCAGTTTCTTCATCTTTTACTTCTGTCATTAAGTCATTATGATAGTAGCAACCTTGAAGATGCATTTTTTCCTGGCTTGACATTTCTCCAGGTGTGGGAGGACATCTAGATGGTCAATGAATCCAATTACTCAATCTATGCTTGCACAGGTACATAAACTCAGTGCCAACAGTTGTTTCACATGCTTTACTGGACCACATATGTGCAGTCAGCCACTCGAGGGAAATATTAAAAATATTGAAGATACTTTTGAGGTACTGTAATTCCTCAATGACTGAATAATAGCCAAACAAGTAAAAAAAATTTGAACAGGCTTTACATTCATGGCATGTGTTACATACCACCCAGAAAGAAGTCTAGCCATGCCATGGGATGCATTTACCAGCCACCAGAAGGGCTATTTGGTGGAATCCTTGTTATTACTCTCAATAATTATAAATGTTTCATATTAGAACTGATAGTCCCCTCCCCCTTTTCTTTCAGTCTAATGTATTATTTACACCCAACGGACGAAGAGCTGAGAAGCCTTGCAGGAATACCCAAAGACAAAGGAAAGAAGGGAAAAGGAGGAGGCAAAGGTAATGCAAAGTCAAATAGTAGTTCAGGAAACTCAGAGGATGATGGGACCTTCACAGTACCTCGCAGCCTTGATTTGAATCTAGAAAAGTCTCGCATGGTTCCAGGGGAAGTGATGCAGCTGAAGTTCTACACTGAATATCAGTGGCTTCTTGACTTCTCTCTGTGTGCTGCCCTGGTATATGTGGCTACTGAGGTAAGTCCACTTCATAATGATTTTGCATACATATATTTTCACTGTGATATATGACCCCACAAATCCCATGCTCATTGTCATGGGGGGGGGCTTAGATGATGGAGACTGGGGTCCTATGTAGGGGATCACCCCTACCTTAGACTACAGTCTTTCATTTGCATGGTCTTTTTTTCTCCCTCTTTCCTTTTCCTTCATCCCCTTCTGTCCACTTCCTAAGGTGTG